TGCACATGTAGGAACCTGTTATAGTTCGTACACCTTTTGCTGAAGCAAAAAAGATCCAATCTTCTAATCTCAGAGATGTCTGAGAAAAACAACATACAAAAAGTAAGAGCACTTTCCAGAGCTGGAAATGCTACAGCCAAGAGAATGGGGAGGGAGGCAGAAACCCCTGATGATGGTGAAATGAAATCTGGGATTATCAACCCCAGTGATAATTGTTTTTTAAGTGTAAACAAGGCAGAAGATGAAAAGAGAGTTGGCATTTCAACCCAAGAGCAACACAGCACCTGAACAGCCCCAATGTCTCTGCTGAGAGCACTGAAGCATCTATTCTGCTTTGTCTTGTTGCGCCTTGAAACACTGAGCAGCCCTAAGAGCACCTTTGGCACCTTGCCCGGGCTTTCTGGCTCGCCCCAGCACAAATTGCTTTCCCTCCACTCCTGATGTCTTGATTTCACTTGTGGTCTTCACGCACACAAAGGAGGAGAGAAAATGAAAAGCACCATCCTTTCAGCATCATCCAGAGCCAGCAGTGCAGTGGGTCTCACCCCAGGATGAGTTCTGGCATGAGCTAACAGCAAATCCTCTGTCAGCCTCTCACATTCCACTGTGTTGGCAGAGCCATGTCCACAGGTGTTCTCGACTCCCTCATTCTGCACCTTGTTTGGCAGGATCAGAGGAACACGCTTGGTTTTACAGTACCAGGTAGACCAATGAGACACAGTTGTGGTACCCAGGTGGACACAACAAGCTCCTCTAGTCTCCAGAGGAACCAACAGTAAAGGACATCAACCTTATAAAGCAATATACACATGCACTGAGCTTTTCCACTGATGGGAAAACCAACTTCACCTACACCAGACACTACTGCAAACCAATGCGATTTCCAGAGGGTCAAACCACCAGTTTCATTGTGGAACAATCCTGCAAAGTTTTAAACAGATGAACCAAAAATCATCACATCAGGTGTACTCACTTGTTACCAGGGTATTCTCAGCAGTTTTACAAAACCCAGTGTCCACACCACCATGTTAGTGATGCCAGCACTAGCTCTGCCAGCCCGGTGCTCTGCAGTACTTTTATCAGCACAGCAGCTTCACACAACAGCCTCTTCCTGACAGATCAGAAAACAAAACGCGCTATCATGGAACAGTTGTGAAGTGCTGGTCTACAGAGCAACGCTGAGCAGCAGAGCAGGGCTGAGCAGCAGAGCAGGGCTGAGCCACACGCTACTGCAGAACCCAAACTTCTGCCTATGGGATTACATGAGATGCTTCAGAACATCATTGCAAAGGGGTTAAATTCACCTAATCCAGCCCCAGACAGTAACATTTACCTGCCGCAGACACTGTGCAGCACTTCCCATGCATAGACACCTTCCAGCTGTGTGTTATGGGATTTCTGTTCACTGCTGTAAAACAGCCACTGCTGGGACCAAAGCGCGGCTCCAGCGACCTTACTGAGCCAGGGTCTGAACTTTGCTTCAACCCACATCTGCTAAACCAGTTCAACGGCTTCAGCCCAGAGCCAGCTGAGCTGCTTTTCCATCAGACCACCACGGCAAAGGGCAGGTTGGAAAAGCCAGCCCAGGGGAGGTGCCATCCATATTGGTGGTCAAATGCAGAAAGCTGCACACTGTCATGGCTAAACACAAAGCCTTGCCAGACTTTGGTTAGGGCTGGGAGAGAGACAGTGTTGGAGCCTGGCTGCTTGCCCTGAGAAAAAAAGGAAGGCACAGGGAGGTAAGTGCTGTCCCCTGAACCCAGCAGCAACTTATGCACAGAGCAGAAGCTCCTTGGCATGAGCATCTTCCAAGGATGCTCTCAAATGAAAGCCCACAGCCAGGTTTGATAGGTACAGTGTGCAGCAGAGGTGTACGTGTAATAGCCAAGTAAACCCTGAAAAGGGCAAAGCTTTAGCCTGACAAGGGGCCAACTCACTCAGCTCTTGTTCCAACACTGGCTCCCAGGGGTCCATCAGTCCAAGCAAAGGCTGACGGGGCAGTCCTGGGATCAACACGCTGCTGCCAGAGATGGGCTCACGCTTTCAGTTTCTTGTTATCCCTACAAGAACTAGTGGGATCCTGCACAGAAAGGTGACTCCTGCAGGAAATCACAGGCATGGAATGGGCAGCTCCTGTGGTGCGACACTGTAGAGTAGGGCCACATCACCGGGATCGTTTGGAAAATCTCCCTGGCTTTCAGGCAGAAGATGCTTTGCTTTCTGGAAAAGGGATTTTCCCAAACTTCATCCTCTCTGTTCCCACACCACTAAACTGTGCAAGGACATGGTTTAAAATAAGCACACCCAAAGAAACTGTTAAACTCTCTAAACCCAAGATCATTCATGTCTTCTGACTTCCTCCCAGTGCTCCTGTAGCCACAGGAACACTGCTTACTACAGCCTGCAAGCAGAGAGAACGTGTTTATGCTGCACCATGGGCTGTTTCTTTCCTCTTTCACTCTCACTGCAGAAAGCCCTTTGCAGTCTCACAACAGCATCCCCTCAGTCACAGCTTGAAGCCAGCCGCCACTTCCCAATCCCGGCGCGAGAGCCTGTCCTGGCATTTGTAAACTTCTGTTTTGAACAACAGCTCAGCACAAAACTCCACTTGTGTAACCTGGGCTCCAGGCTTGGCCCCCTCTCAAACCTCCCAGTGCTCCGCAGCCGCACAGAGACCCACAGAGCCCCAGCCGGCTGCATGGTAATGAGAGGAAATCATTTTTCCTCTGCAAGAATGCAGTGCTGGAGATGTATTTTGGAATTCCTCTCCCTTTCCCTGCCGGGCTCTTGCTGCAGCAGAGGACGAGCGAGGAAGTCCCCATCCGGGTGCTCAGTGGGCAAACACAACAGAGCTGCTCCTCCTGCAGTCCCAGCTGGACCTGGAGCTCGAGGAGTTACAGCTTCCAAAGAAAAACATGTTTGGGGTGTTATCTGATTTCGGTCCTGACCAGGAGAAGATGAATTCCCACTACTTACTGCTCCTGCTGCTCCATGCAGCCCTCCCCAGTGCTGCCTTCCACCCCAGCCAACTGGGTTATTTTAGTTTCCAACAAAAGGGACAAGCAGAAGAACTAGTCAACTCCATGGGTGCAGAAAACCCTGGGGAACATAGTGTTAGCTGAGGTTGCAGAGCAGTTGCCACCAGGACAAGCAGCAGCTTCATCTCGTCATTCTGCGCTCAGTCCAGAAATTATCAGCTTTCCAGGAATACATCATTGGCAGTGAACACCCATTTGCCATTGTTCTGAGCCATGATTTTCTCTACACAGTTTCTGCTTAGGCTTGCAGAAAGAAAGGAGGGACCAAAGGAAATTAAGTTGCTGAGATATGAAGGAAATTAGGTTATAGTCCACTGCCTTCATGAGACCTATTCATTACATCCAGTTTAAAGCTGCTGGTGTCTTGATTAGTGTGTGTGGATGCACTGAAAACCCTTTTTGTCTGGTGAGAACGACAAAAGAAGAAAGGACAGATCCCAGAACTAGAGAGGGGGTTTATACACATGCCCTGTAGTATCAGAACATCTGCTACAAGACAGAATAAATACTTGTTTATTGTCCAGTTCTCAGTGGCCAACCCCATGGGAAGGGCTCACATGGGAGCTGGGAGAGCACTGACACCCATCACTGTGCATTCCCTGGCCTGGCAGAGGAATCAGCAGCCCAAACCCCAGGTAAGCACTAAAACCCACCTAAAACACCTCAAACCTCAGGGGCACTCCACTTAAAATACAGCATCCAGTGCAACCACTGCCATTTTTGGCAGAAGGTCCAACACTGACAACAGACGCTCCACTGCCCAGCAAAGCCAGCTCTTACTTCCCATTTTTATTGTTGAGCTTCCCTGGGAATATCTATTAATTTAATACAATTTAGAAGACCAGCCCTAACTCTTTAACTGGGATTTTGGCAGCAACATTCAGTCCATGCGTTCTTGCTCCGTTTACAGTAGAGCAGCTCCCAGATGTTGGTAATGTTAAACAGACTGGAACTTTCTCCTGAGTGACAGCAAAATGCAGACGAGAGCTGGCTTGGCTTTGGCTCCAATTATCCAGTGCTAGGAGACGTTCCCCCCATCCCTTTGCTGGGTTGGGGAGACCCATGAGATACAGCTTTTCCTCTACATAAATGCAATAAAGCTAAGGAGATAGGGATCAATAGTTCTTAGTTTACACCCCATTGCACTGGCGCTGATTTCAGGGAAGAAATTCTAGCTTGCAAGAAAGATCAGAGACAAGATCCTCATACACATGAAAGCCTCAGAAGTGCAGCAGAGCACAGAAGTCGAGATTGCTGATGAAATGCATATATTAAACTAGTTGCTGAACTATGGGAAGAACTTCTACCATATGTACCTTGGCTATAAATAATCCTCTATCTCTTTGCTTAAATGAGAGGAGCTCATGGGAACATTCCACCCGTCATGATACTGGTTTGCTTTTTGAAGGCAGTCGCTGTGTGGGAGGTGACAGGGCTGCCAGGCAAGCTGGTGAGGAGAGACCCCTTATGTCATGGTGCAAGAAACCAAGAATTGATGGACAATGTATGGGAAAAGAGCAAATTCCTACAGCCCCAGAGTGAACTGTGACTTGCAGGAGAGCTGCTTTCCTCAGCTTCCATTTGCTGCCCCTGCAACTTTACCTAAATCCTAACAGAGATGAAGGAGAATCTTGTGAGCCCCCTTCCCATGCTGAACAGGCTGAAGAATTACAGATCTACAAAATCCCAGTGCAAGGACTGGTCTTGAACCCCAACAAGAGCATGAAAACCAGAGGAGCTCACTCCAGCTGGGCATCTGTCCCACTGTTTGCATCATTGCTACAGAAAGAATTTCCCCAGCCAAAACAAGAACTTACAAAGATACAAATGACACACAACAGTGTGCCATGATGCAAAAACCCAACACAAGTTCCAAAAATGAGCTGCAAATACCCCATCAGCCAGAACCCAGATCATCACCTCTGTGGAACATCTCCAGAGCTGTTCACCATTGTGACTTACCTCAAAGACTTCTTCATCCAATATCCTTGTTCCAAATACAATGATGCCATTGACGTCAATGATGGGATGATCACTTCGGTCCAAGAACTTGGTTATCTTCTTTTTACAGTCCAAAATCAAGGTGACATTTTTCTTCTGCACACTGATCGCTACTCTGTGCCACCTAGAACAACACAGTCCCCAGATGTGTTAAATGGAGTCCTGGGCTTTCAAGAACAAGCTAACAATTGTATAACAATGAAGCTTTCATGAACTGATGTTCTGCAAACCTTTATGCTAGCCATCATCTGCAACCACATCAAAACCATCCTGACTCTAAAGATTTCACTTGAAATAAAGGCTGATAGATGATGCCATTCACTTCCCATCCCTCCAGAACAGGTAGGAAGGCACCAGTTCTGGCTTCAACAAGAAGCAGAGGGAAGAAACCCACCAGTAACTCCCTGGCTATTCCCCTTTTCCACCCTCCTCAAGTCCTGCAAAAGACTCAGATTTTGCAAGACAAGCTGGTTTATCCAGGCTCTTTGCAGCAGGAGTCTCTGTTCCTACCCCCGTAAGTGCCAGACATTTTGCACTGACTGGTGGTTCTCGCCTTATATATGCAGTATTTATTCACCAAAGGGCAAAGCTCAAGAATAAGATGCTTGTCAGTAGTCAAAGGTGTGTATATACGTTTATACATACATGACTCCTAGTTTACACAACTTTCAACATGCTGGTATCGATATAAACAATGTACTTTTTCCTTTGTGCACAAAGTTTCACTTACTTGCCATCTGCTAGGTTAATGCCTCTAAAGAGAGGATAGTCTTCTGGGCCTGGCTTTCCTGTATGGTCTTCATACAGGAATACAGGAGATCTACCCAACTCCACACCAATTTGCTGGATCCCTTGCTCATTGTAAATTGAGATCAAGAAGGACTGAACTCCTTTCTTCGCTTTTACAGTGGTTAGAATGGAGAAGTCCTCTGGGAATGGGGAAGCTGGAGTAGAAAAGCAAAGAGGTTAGTCAGGTTTCTTTGAAAATGAATCCCTACAGAAACAGTCCTGTTGCCTAATAACACATAGGGACACCTCTGGTTTATCTCTCCAGATGTGTGCAGATCAGCAGCTCTATAAAATACAGGGCAGCATCTTATTTGCCAGGTGAAGATCAGGCTCTCCCTCAAAGTAAATTGCACCAGTAAAGCCAGTATTGAGCAGAGTCCCCCCAAGGGCTACCTGCTCTAGTGGCATATTAAAAAGCCAAGCACAGAACTGAGCATCTCTGAGCATTATTTGTTTATGATCAGAAAGACTTTTTCCAGGCCTTGTTGCAATCTGCCACAGAGCCAAAAATCACCCCATATTTGAACTTGCAAGCAATGAGTGGCAAGGGGGCTGCTGTTCTGGGATGAGACCATAGCACTGGGGAAACAGGGGGTCTAAAAAACCTGTTAATTTAAATCTATACTATTTGCACCTAACCCTTCCTTAGTGTGTTCTAGAGCTTTTTAGGAGACAAGGCAAAAAACTTTCACATATCATGAGGTCCCCAAATTAACTTAAGGTGTCAGAGGAACAGAGGAAATTAAGCATGCCTGTGCCAGTTCAGCACATGCAATATTGAAGGGGTGTATTTAAGGGAGCAGGGAAGTTGCATCAGGTTGTGTCTATTCCAGATGAGAACAGTGTCTGTGGCTTCAGCTTTCAGGGCTGGTGCAGACAGAAAAATCTGAAAACAGAAATAAACCTGGCAGTGAGTAGGGGACACTGATTCGTCTGCATGTTAAAAGGCATTTAACATTTCCTAGCTCTTTCTGCACTCAGGAGAGCCACCCTGTCTGATCTCAGGTGATTCCTGACTGTATTTTTGCAAGGTTTGGAAGCTTCAAATATGGAGCAGGCACCGTCAGCACAGAGAGGATGCCCTGCACAGAGGAAGGGTCAATCCCCTGCAACACCGAACAAAGGCATGACAACTTCCAAGTCACTATGGGCAGATCACACCCTGGTCTGGACACACCTTCTCTATTTGGGATTTCTCTGCCATTCAGACTGGAAAAATGAGCCCAAACTGAACAGCGCAGATGCGCATCCCAAACAGGACATCTTAAGAACACCAGCAGCAATAGTAAAGGGGATTTCATGCTCAAATGATCATTGGAGATGAGACCTACAAAAACAGAGGGTACCTACAGGGCATAACCTCCTCAGATGCTGCATTTCAGCAGTGAGACTTGCAGGGGACCTTTCCTTTAAGGTCCAGGCTTTCAGAAACAAGGATTGCATTGTACCACTGGGTATCTGCTTGAGAAATCTTAAACCCTGGCAGGGCAGGGTAAAGTGGGGCTGCCGGGCCATGGGCACTGCGGTGTGTGCTGGGACCAGCGATGTGTGGCAGCCAGTGGCGGGCAGGGATGGGAACACCACAACCCATCAGCCCTAAACTGCAGACCCGGAGCCATGTAAACCACAGAAAACCTTGAGCTCTGTGCCCATGAGCTTCAAATAGATTTCCTTCATCCCTGCAGGCTTATTTTAGATAGTACCCCAGGGCTGCATAAGGGATTTTGACCCAGGGAGGGGACCAGGAACATGGAAGCGTTAACCACAGCAAAGCCGGCAAGTTCAAACACATGAGCTTAACCTCTCCTCCTCTGCCTGGGACTTGCTTTAACTTCTGTGAACAGTGTTTCAAATGCATCTGCCTGCCTAGCACAGGGAGGGGGAGGCAGGAGCAGGCTGGGCTGCATCAAAGCCAGCACTGCTACAAACAGCTTGTGCAAACAGAAGACACGGAGGGGAGAGCTGAGGATACCTACAGAGACACACACTGTTTGCACCAAGTTAATATCCCTCACCTTAGTTAAACAACATTTGGAAGGAAGCATAAGGCGGTGTTCTGAATAGAGGACTCACAGTCAGTAATTAAATGCCATGATTATAGGTTGATTTCCCCCTAGAAATTTGGCAAATGCAGGCATCCGATTATCCTGCCTCCCATAGGAAACACTGAGCTTTATCTCCCTTCTGCTGTACACAAATCCTCCTGTAGAACTGAATCAAGACCATACGCCTTCCTGATTCCAATTACAGGCTACAGTTTTGGGCCTTTTATGTAAAATAGTTCATGTCCAAAATGTCATTAGGAAGCCACAATGGTACCTTCAGCCTGGACAAGCTGCCAACTCATTAAAAAGCTGCTTTTAATTTTTTTCATTATTATTAAGATGTCTCCATGGTGAAGCAAGTTTTTCAACCCAAATAACCATAATGGATGAATTATAGCTGACATTACTCTGCATTGCTCTGCTGTCCTGGCAAAACAACAATGCCTTCACTGTCACAGCTAGAAGTGACCCAGGCTATTGAATGATGTATGGAAACACAGCCACACGGACAGCAATACTAATAAATACATCATAATAAATATATGAAGCACTAATAGGTACTAATAAATACAGCATAATAAATACAAGGGGATTTGGGTCAATTGATAAAGACAATGGAGACAACCCCTCAACATGGGGTTTGGGATTAAGCCATTATCTTCAATTCATTTCTTCAAATGAGCTCATGCTGAGAGATGTTGCACATCCATCCCATCGCTCAACAGCACTGCTCCAGTGCTGAATTTAGCTCAGCATCACCCTTTTACCCTATGGCCAAGTCCTTTCACATTCACCACATGCAACCACCTGCAAAGGCAGTGAAGGGTTAAGACCCCAGTTCTGCAGATGGAAGCCTGGGAGGAGCTGAGGAGGTCCAGGGTGGGTACAGGCCTCTCCACCCCATGCGGCTCCCACACAGCACGTTGATGCCATGGGCTTCTCTTGAGCCCCAATGTGCAAACCAGCAGAGCCAGGCTGAGCTGCTGCTTTCCTGAGCACCACGACCAGGAATTGAAGGCTCCTGTACTATCTCATGGTCTTCAGGATAGGGACAGGTTGGACCTCCTTAACTTAGACCCTGCAGGTGTAGCCAACCACAGCCTGAAGTAACGAGCCCTGCTGCTGAGCGGGGAAGGAAAAGAAGCTTTAGCTGCTGAATAGCAAAAAAAAAATCAGTAAAAGCAATGAACTGAGCCAGTTCCCAACACAAACACAAAGCAGATCTGTTGCGTGAGATGGTGTCGTTCCCAGAGCCACTTTTCAAAGGAAAACAGCTCTTCAACCGTGTCACCAACTTCTGGTCTTTTTCTTCATTTGAGAAGACTCAATTTTGGAATCAATTGTTTTCCTCAGAGAGGACTGTCCAAGTTATTACAGAGATATTTGAGCTCTTAAACGCATATGCAGACACCCACAGGAAGTGTGGAGAATACGGAGTTTGGTAGAAGAATGCAAATGACATTTTGCTGTTTGCCGCTGAAAACTTCGCCTTTCTTGCCTCTGCTTTTGCTGGGAAGCAGAACTTGTCAGGGAGTGAGGACAAAGAGCATCTCAGCAGGATTTCTCACTCTTGTGAGCTTGTAAAAACAGATAAACTTTTACATGTATCTTGCTTCGCTGGCTGTGGCAGCAGAACACAAAGCCCATCAAATTACCATCTAAGAAAAGCACCAGCTTCTAATGAGCACAAAACATCACGTGCAGTGTACATTTGCCTCAGGTGCTCTATAACCCGCCTGTTAATAGGAAATCACTAAACACACATTCCCCTGGTACACTGCACTGCAATTACTTTATCATCTTTATCTCCTCTCTCGTTCATTTGGTGGTGCGAGCTGAAGTCACATCTAGTTATGGAGATGCACTGAGAAAACATCTGTTCCTCTGATGGAAAACACTGGGGGTTCCTCACTTCACTCTTCCCTTCCCATTTCCTCAGCAAGCAGCAGAGAAGACTTGATGACTTTGGAAGCCTTTGGAGAGGGACAAAGCTGCTTCCATCGCCCCATGGTTGTCCAGATGAGTAAATGATTGAAAAGTTGCTTGATGACACAAAGAAACACCATCCAGATCTTCTCACCCAAGACAGCAGATCAAAAACCAAGAACTCATTGAGGACATAAAAGTAAGGTGGGACAACAGCAAAAAAAATCCCCTACAGTATGGAGTCCTTTCCTGTGGCCTCAGTTCAGTTCTGCACGCTGCCTTGTTCTGTTAACCTCTGTCGTAAGTGGTGCCATCCAGCCTCCTTGCTACATTTATTAGCCAGAATACTCCATCCTTGTCTTTATTTCTTGGGGTCACCACTGTTTGCTGGTTTCCATAAAACAAACGTGATCAGGCAAGATTTCACAGTGGCTGCAACTACTGCTGGAAAGCTCTCCAATCCACTACAGTTGTATATTCCACACTGGAAGCATTTTCTTCAAGCACTTCTGAAGCAGAAGATACCAGTTAGGCCAAAATTTCAAATCTTTTCAGATACGTGGAAAGAGAGTACATCAAACTGGTTAAACACACACGGGTTAGGTTGAATTGATCTTGCCTTGGGACAGATGGATGGACTTAGGGCACAATCCTCTGGGACGTGAAGGCAGAACCTGTCTGAGGGGTGCAGTTGAGCACATGAAGGTATTATCTATAGTCAGAAAGGACTGTCCTGTCCAGGGCAGCAATAAAGACGAATCCAGGGTCTATCCTGCACTTCCACAGGCACTGAAATGGGGCTTTAGGCAAAGCCGAGCAGCTCCTTTGCTAAGGGTTGACCATGCGATGGAGGGTTACCTGCCCACAGCAAAGGCACAGCTGCTCTCATCCCATGTGTGAGACACAGGGTATGCTCCTGCATGCTCCTGCTCACCACAGATTAAATGTAATTCACCTGCTTATTGTCACAGCAGGATAATAATGAAGTCTGAAAATAACCTTAATGATAACAGATGCAATGAAGGAAATACAGGGCTGGAGGTTGCCAGCGCAGCAGCAGTCCAGCCTCGGAGCCCTTGGTCAGACCACTGACAGGCTGGCTCTGATAGGTACAGCATGTTCATTAAAAGCATTGGTGGTGGCACACCACATTACCAGGGATATAGCTAATGTGTTTTTATCATTACTCCTCTCACAAACACCAAAGGAGGATGTGTGTGTCTGCTTTGTTTAGGTCATCACTGCTTCAGAGACAAGTATTATGCAGCATCTTTCTGCCTCATTGCCAAACCTTCCCTGAGCAAAGGCATTCTCCTCAAGCCTATAAAGTCCTACAAACCATGCCTTCTCCCAGCATCCCTGCACTCCCCCGTGTAAAACAGGGATACAGCAGTGGTCCTGCATGGCAGCTACGTATTGAAGGCCGAAGCTCTCGGGCAGTGAGCAGTTTGGGTCTATAATGTGTCTAGTCTTTTTACAAACACATTTTACTCTGCAGCAGTGATTGTCCCTTGAGCTAAAAAATTAAGCCCCGGTGCATCCTCAGTGACAAATGAAACAGCAGCAGCAGCCCACATGCTCTTCAAGGGCTCTTGCGTCTTAGTGGTTTTCCCTAATGAACCTCCCGTTTCTTCACACATCTTTCCTTGGGACATCTGTTCTCGTGGGGCAGTCTATTTTTTACTCAGTGATTATTTATGCTGTGAGAGACACCACAGCCACAGAGTAAGACCCCACTGTGCTTGGCACGCCACGAACACAGAACATGATGCAGTCTGCATTCCTTTGCATCTTCTAAGTCTCTCTCCCCAGCTGGACATCACCGTGATAATGAGACAGTAGAAACTTTGTAGTATGGGAGAGAACAGATGCAGGCACTGGCCACATCTGCAGTGAAGCCCACCACCACGTGCAAGTGCAGTGATAAAAGAATCACTTACTGCAATGTTATTTGATGGTTGAATGTTTGCAGCCCCCTGAAACAGTGGGATCACTCCCTGCCAAGGGATCATCCAAGCACACTTGGAAAGTGAAGGAATCATGCAGTGCCCTACATGTGCCTGCAGAATCTGAGAAAAGCATCAGATACTTCCAAATGACAGATGAAAAGCTGTGGACTCACCAGGATACAGCTGCTTTGTCGGTGCACTAAGCTGAGCATCTTTTGTTACTCTATAAGCAACATCTGCTTCTTTTGAAGATCTTCTGCTTGTGCAAAACCCTGTTGTTTTTGTTATACCATCAGGTAAATTATGAAAATCTAATACCTTCAAGAGGTCTGCAGGTTCAGCTGAAAAAGGAAAAGGAGAAAACAAGAATTAGCAGGCAACAGGAATGGCGCTTGTTCAGATCCAAATCAGTATTAGCCTGCATCACACAAATCAATCATCAGTTTTAAAAATGGATGAAGTATGTTTTCAATACATCTGCAAATACACCGTTAATACCAGCTTCAAAGCCAAGACATTGTGGTACTGGTCAGAGGCACTAACTCAGTGCAGAGAGGAATGGTTCTCTGCACCAGGGCAGAAGGGAGAACGCATTGTCGTCTTAGCTACAGAAGTTAGATTTGCTGGATGTCTTCGCTCAATCTCCATCATTCAAGTACATCCTGGAGATTAAGCATTAGAGAGGAAATCTGTGATGTGAGAGAAAGGCTTTAAATCAAGCAGTTGCCCTCATACTGATGCAACCATTCCCATTCTTTTTTCTTAAGGTGTTTGATCCAAAAAACTGTTTTGAAGCAAACACCTGAGCAAGCTTCTCTGCAGGGTTACACACACCACACCAAACAATGTGTCAGCTCACACTAGCTGGGTAACAGGTCAACCACAAGCCATGGCTTGGGGTATGTTAAGGCAGTGCAGGATCCCACTGTGGTGCTGACGGTTGGTCCTGCTGCCCACGGGCTTGCCCAGAGTCTTGCAGCATTTGAGCACAGCATCTAATCCTGCCCGGGGTGAGCCAAGGTGACACAGGGCAGGGATACAGCTCATGGAGCGATCACAAATAGGCCAACTGCATTCAGGGACGTGTGTGGCTCTATTGCTACTGAAGAAAGGACACATGTCGCCAGGCCAGGAAAATACAGGAAACAATTCCTGCAAGGGAAAAGGGTAAAAACTGGCCTTGTGTTAGGATTGATCATATTACTAGAAAGATCAGAGAGGAAAGAGGGAGAGGATTTGCAAGGGATATGCTACATGCAACTGGCTGCATCCATAGGGAAGGGCTACGGCATGGCCATCAATCCTGAACACAAACGCCCCGGTCAGTGGAAAGAAAGAGCGTGAACAGACCTTTTACAATATGAGAAGTTCTGGTTACCAAGAAGATCAGCTTAATATTTGCATGGAAAATCCATGTACATTGTTAGGAAGCATTTAAAAGTTTCCACAATCCTGAGAAGTTGGGCTCTCAATGAGAGATTACAAACATATGGCAAATCCAAGTCAGTGCTGCAGATAAACCAGCTGAGAGCCTGGCCTGAGCAGCACACAGCTGTGCTGTTTCCTCATCTCTCATTCCTGTTAGTATATGGATGACACGCATTTGTCTAAGCTGTCCTTGACACTTGGATCTTCCCACTGCCTTCAATCATGTTTCATTTCACACAGAAATATCTACATACATACAGCCCAAACTGCATTTAAACAACTGAAATTACAGCCAAGCTCCAGCTCTGCTTCCAGTTACTTCCCTGTGCTCCAAGAGATTCAAATGAGCCAGCTCCTAAGCTGCCTCCAACATGGATTTAGGGAGGAGAGGGGAAAAAGGCAAAGGCAAGGGGGAGGGGATGCGAATTCCAGACTCCTGACATCAGCCTGGTCCCCACGCAGGGTGCAGGGGTTTGAGCCTCGCTCGCAGCACTGCGCATAAACCATCCTGCAGAGCGCGGCCACGCTGGGGCTGAGGCGTCTGCAGAGGAGCCCATCATCCAAAAGCTCCGCTGCTGTTGGGGCAAAACCTGTGTGAGCATCATCTCCTGTGGCAAGGGAGCCCCAGCAGACAGCAGAGCCAGTTGCAGGCATCTCGTAGGAGAGAAGTGTACAGTGCTGGATGAGTTAAGTGCTGCTCAATGTCATGATCACTTTATAGCTATAATTGTGCAGTGCACTAACAGGAAGGTTGACATGAAAGCAGATCTCAGCAGCTCTATACATGAACAGAATGCTTGCCTATAGCTCCCACAGCGGTCAGAGCATGGTGATGAGCATTCAACGGAGCTGAACCAGCTGTGAACAGGTAGCCGGCTCAGCACTACATGCCCTGCTTGAAGCCCTCTGAGCAACACCACCCTCATTATCAGAACCCTGGTGTAGCATTTCTCATGTGTAAGGGATGATTCAAACACCCTTTAAGAACCCCCAAACACAACATGTTAATTTTACAGGAAGATCCTCTATACCTCCACAAGGATGATGGATTGGGTCAAAGCGAGATATTAAAGAACAGCAACAGTCTGGGTATTGCACAAACAAACTGCAAATCCCACAGGTAACCAGCAGGAGAGGAAACAACCTCTGCTCAGATGTGCATGAATGTCTCATCTCTGCTTGCTCCTGGAAATCAAAGAGGATGCGAGGAGGTAGCTGGAGCCCTACAGAGGGCTCATGTTGCTCTTCATCACTAAGAAATCAGTTTGAGTAGGACTTAAGCAGCTTGAAAGTCTCCAGCTCCTTCCAGAAAGATGAGCTTCACACAGCAGCAGCTCTGACTCCTGCCCAGCTAATCAATTTACTTATTTCCCCTTGATTTTTTATCCAAATCTAAACTCAGCTCCTGTTAGGAGCTCTGACAGCATCATGCGTAGAATGACAGAGACCAGACTGACCAAAACCAGGCCCTACAGGGTATTCCTTGCAAGCTTGCACTGAGCTTGGCGTTCATTCGAGGACTGAATTAGCTGTTGCTTTATGAAAGCTTTTTTCTTTACTTGCTCTTTCATGAATGACATTACTATGCAGCATTACACAGGATCCTTCTTTCACTCTAGATGCACAGGGTTTCCCAAAGAGACCAGTCCCTGCTGTGCTAGGGGAGGGTGGCAGCAGACCCAGTACACAAAGAAGCAAACCCTAAATAGCCAAATAGCCAAAATGAGACCAGAGGCTGCCCCAAAAGCCTGCACCCAGCAGTGTGGAAAGCCCTGGAAGAAGACTGAGAAGTACTTCCCATTTTATATCTGTAAACCTGTCCCAACTCCTATGGGCTCCGTCACATTCATTTCACTGCTCAGGAAAGGCTCTGCCTGGACGTCCCCAGAGGTCAAAGCCAACCTTTCAGGACTGTTTGCGGGAATGTTTGCAGCAGACAAGTTCCCACACCATGCCCAGCCTGCTCCTTCCTCTGATGGCCTGGAAGGACCCGCCAGTCAACAATAAACCAGTTTCCCAACCAGGCTGGTGTCCCTACTGTGATGAGAGCCATAACTGAAGTGCTTTGCATACTTCAAGTGAAGTAGCACCTAGATCCTCTCCACAGACCCATTGTCCAGTGGAGCTGCAGAGGATGCTGCACACTTAGTGCATTGCTGAGAACAGATTTGCTTTTCCAACCACCTTTTGCTCACCTCCCCGAATGGGCGGGAGGCTCCCAAAGATCCCAACGGACTAGAAGCTGAAAAGGTTTTAGCAGAGTAGTTTAATGAATAAAATCACACACACCTCTTCAGCATCTTCACTGAACACATCCCTAGAACTTAGAAGTAAGAAAAATTGCCTTTCTTCAACTTCTTGCCTTAAAATACCCTTCAAAATGGAAACAAAATTCTCATCAGCATCTTGAGACACATTTATGGGGCACAGCTGACCTGTCCTTGTATTAATACAACCACCAAGACATGTCGGTGCCTGGAGAAGAAGTCACCATCCTTAGTTGTAGAGGACCATTCTTCTATATTTGATTTCATAGGAGCTGAAGGGCATCCAAAGACTTTCAGGACTTAATGACACAGCACTTGGTCATACTATAGTTTATGTGCAGTTATTGCTAAATATTTGAGGTCATAAGGTGAAGAATGAATAAGCATTTATGTTCCCAGCTCATTCCAGATGCCCTCTGCAGTTTTCTCATCATTTAACACAGAACCTACCAGTCTGGGTATTTATATCCAAGTGTCACATCACCAGTGATGCAGGTTTACTGAGAGCAAAGCCTCCCTATATGAACAAACAATAAAAACAAACTCTCCATCTTATCCTGCAGCAAGTAATTACAGTAGATAAAATGAATAAGGATTATTTCAAGAGCAGCATCTCCTTGAAAAGTACCTCAAGTCCCACAGAAAGGTGAGAAAAGATCATTTTCCCAGCCAAAGCAAAGCAATCCACTGCAGTTGATCTGCCCATGATTAACCAGCCACTTAAATCTCCTTCTTTCTCCTTGGTTTGTCTTTAAGCCAGAAAATCACCAGCATCTGCATTGTGAGGAGATTGCAAGAGGCATAATAAGGCACTTTGCATATACTCAGATGACAAGGATGAAGTTACTACCATATTTCCCCCCATTAATATCAATATATCCTGTGCAAACAGCATTAGGCAGCGCACTGTCCTGTCTCACTGCATTACCTTCTCTGGCAGGAAAGGAGCATGCTGCAGAGCAGCCTGAATGCACAGCAAAACAACGTTCCTGGGAAGAGAAGTTTATTCTTAGCACTGAATAAACACTCAATCACAGCCTTTGGAGGACCACAGTCAGACCTGCAGCGAGCAGGGCACAGTGCATAGAGGGAAGGATGCCCTTCCACTGCACTTAGGGCTTTCACTCTCCAGGCAGCTGCCAGAGGTTGACATGGATATCATGGCTTATCCCAGAAATTAAATGCCGAGGGGTAAAGGCTCCTGTACTGAGATCCATAGGAAACAGCCAGATACGATGAGAAGCACAGATGAGAACTGGAAGCTGCTTCACTTAGCGATAGGTTTATACAGGGCCTGGAGTCTCCAGGTCGTGCCTGTGGGATTTCAAAGATTTCTACCCCTTATCTAAACACTTTTCACCACTGCTGACCTAGCTGCAGCCCTTGGGGAACTGACTAAAACAAGGTGACAGAGGCTAAGACAAAATGCAGACCAAGAAATAAGCATGTAAAGCTCCAGTTGCCATTGTTCAAGCATCCTTTGGATGGACTTAATACAGCCTCTTAAATTCTTCAGCATCCCAGCAGCCCAATAAAATGAAATTATATATTTGGACAAAGAGAAAAGGCATTTTAAGGAGGAGAATTGATGAATCTGAAGTGCAGAATTGAAGATGTAAAAGTTTGTTCCCTAGGAAGGGACATAA